CGTTTCCAAGGGATTGGCGCAATGCGAGACGGGATATAAACAAGCTCATTCAAAAAACAAAATGGCGGTGGATGAGTCACGCCTGAAGTGTGAGAAAAACGACCTAAAAACATCCATACTTTATTCCTATCTAGCAGAAACAAATACGAAATGGAAGCCCGTTGGTCTAACCTTTGTAGAGTACCCCGAAGGTTTGGAAAAAGTTTGTTTTTCTATGTGAAAAATGCTGTTATTTTCGCGGTTTTTCCCCGGCTAGTGTGGCTAGGGGCGGGTAAAATGCTGAAATAAGGAGGCGATGTTGTTGTTAAGGTAGTTCGTGTTGTGTATGTTTGTTGAGGTAGATTTGGTGGGAGTTTAGGGCGATGAAAAGATAAGGATTTGGTTGAGATAATTAATATAGCCTGAGGGTGTTGTACAATATATATGTACGTTCTATTTTTGTAACAATTACTCAATTAGTGACCAATTATAAATAATTAAGTGTCCATAGAGAAATTCATCCCAGGTTGCACACTTGTTCTGCAAAGCGGGGAGGGTGCTAGTTACACTCCTCCCATACAGGAAATTTCTGCCATCTGGAGGGGAAGGGGAGAAAAATTTGTTTCTGGTAATAGTAAGTATATTAGTAGGGTTGCACCGGAACCAATTTTTTAAGTTCCGGCCGGAACCGGATCTGACCGGAACTGGAAAAAAGTTCTGGCCGGAACTGATTTATTAATCCGTATTTAGTCATATGTTGCCAGACAGTCAGACACTTCAAATCATCAAGGAGAGAGCTCACAAATTTTAGAATAAAAAGATTGACAAACGTTAAATGTCATAATGAAGTGTTAATAGTGTACATTTCCCTTGCGTAGTCCAAATTTCTTCCTGCTGTGAACTTTTGTTCAACACAAAAACGTTTGATATCCTATCTCCCTGAAAATGACAGGGTTCCGGTTTAGCCCATGCTTTTTATATTAGTTCTGGCTGGGACCGGAACTCGGGGTTCCAGCCGGAACTAACCGGCCGGAACCAAGTTCCGGTGCACCCCCATATATTAGGACATCCAGAGATGTTAATTTTCAATTTTCTCTGTGTGGGAGGTTTGGATATTTTTTGGATGATGTAATTACAAAAAAAAAACAGGACAGAAAGTTAATTGACTTTTCTGTGGAAAGCCGTAAGGTATAAGGGAGGGGTCAAAGAAATTGCGGAACAAATCTGTGTTCTGGAAAAAATTAATTTGTAAATAATCTCTAACCTTCATTTAATAATATCCTGGCCATTTCTCATTCCATGACCTTTCCAAAAACTGAGTTATTAATTGGTAGCTTTGAATAATCAGTAATAGACTGACCAGCCTGTGTTGAACATGTTCCGTGTGTATTTTTCCAATCTCTTACATTTCCTTTGCCTTATTATTTTTTATTCAATCAATTTTATTTTCAGGAGATCTAGCTGGCAAAATCTTGGCCTGGTTAAGTTTATCCCCAATCTTTATTCTCATTGGTTTTGTTGCTGTGATCATCTTTCGACGTGAGCTACATACGGTACAAAGTTCTATAAAATTATTCCTAGGGTTGAGCCTGGAGACTCATCAGATAATTACACAAAGTTGTGTCGGTCATGTGTGCCACCCGCCCATCAACATACTGTATTTGAATTGTAATTGGTGTTCACAGTTTGCTAATTACCATTATGTTATTGCTCAAATTACTGTATCTCATTTCATGTCTCTATTATTTTTTGCTTTTTCATGAAAAATAGCACCCCTCTGGCCAGGGCTATGGGGGTGCCCACACCCCAGTAAATCCATCCCTGTATATCCTTCAAAATTCTGCTTGTATATCCACAGCAGCTGATTTTTATTACAATTTACAATTGAAGATACTGTATTTAATACAATTTACAAGAAATGTAGAAAAATTCAATTATCTCGTTTTCAGGTAGCGTTTTTTCTTGGCTGTGTCTTGAATGAAGGTCTAAGTATAGCAATCAAACATGCAATTAAAGAACCACGACCATGCAGAAGTCCTACGTCACATTATATAGAATATGGTATGCCATCGAGTCACGCTGCATTTGTTGCATTCTTCACGACATATACACTTTTTTTTGTTTATGTAAGGTAAGGATTGTGTACACTCATATAGACCCATTGCACATGACGTCAGAGCGCCGGTGACGATGCATCTGGAGGACAAATTAGCAATCTATGCATATCATAACTTTTGTAAACAAAGCAAATTGTGTAAAACTTTATAATAATTTTGTATTAGAATGGTTAATTTTTGTGCTGTATGTGGTTGTTGTACCCGAACAGATATTGTTAGGGAACATCTGGAGGACACATCTGGAGGACACTACCTGTCCTACACCAGCACATACCTTTTGCTTCTCTCTATTTCACCTTTTCTTTTCGCCTTGGGCCTTTGTTCCTACTGAAAAACATGTTCAAATGTGTCCAAACAAATGTCATTTAATTTTTTGTTTACAGACTTCCTTCACCATCAAGTGAGTTTATTGATAATCTATGGAGACATTTAACGTCACTAGGCCTGCTCTGTCTAACTGCAGCGGTTTCATTTGGCAGGTAAGTCTTTATGAAGAGAGATTTTGGCAACGCAGCACGATTTTTCAATTTTTAAAGGTTATGAAAAGAAGTTTTAAAAACTATATAGACCAAATGAATCAACATGCTTGTGTGATGTTACTCTGAGTGTATATCCACACCGGGCAGGCTTGAAAAATATGCCTGGCCATAGTGGGATTCGAACCTACGACCTTTGGAATACTAGCCCAACAATCAACATGTTATAAGCGCTACTAAATATCTGAGAGAAATTTAAATCCGTATCAAAGCTATCTGTCGGTGAAAGAAAATACTGATGAATCTATCATCTGTGCAGGATTGTTGTAGGTAGTGGTCAGATTATTCCGATTATTGTTAAGTATATATAACAGCAGCTTCAAAATATACCATGTTTATCCCCCCAGGCTCTTTTGCCCCCACAGCACACATGCCCCTAACAAGTGTGTACAACGTTTTTTTAGGGTATATTTACATTATCACACACTTCATCAAGTACTTTGGGGACTGGCACTAGGGTTGTGTTTTGGAATTGTTTGGTTTTTAATAGTTCATAATCTACTCACACAGTTATTTCCAGTGATTACGTCATGGTATGTATGCAGATGGTATTTTTGGCATGATCTTACGGTCCTGTTCATACTATATTATTAGGTCAAAATCGGCTAAAAATGGCCATGAGAGGTGGAAATTTTTTATTCTTTCTGGAAACTTGGGTTTAGGGTTCAACATTTTCTGCAAAACAATATTACAATAAATAGGGAAAAATAACAAAATTGTCGTTTGTGATTGTGTTGTGTCTTGACTCTTGAAGACTCAAGTAGTCAGTACAGTATAGTTGCAGTATTACAGGATTAAAAACAAATTTCCTTCTGCAGGCTAGATGAATATTTTTATGAAACTTTTCTGCTGTAATTTATAGGTATCAAGTTAGTAGATTGACTAGGTGTTTAATCATTTCAATAATTGCGTACATTTAGTAATTTAAATATTACGTATATATTTACTGTAAATAGTCTTCTTTTTTTCTTTTTATAATCTAGTCATACTTTTATTTATGTGCCTTGCATGGGTCTCGTTTTCCCGTTTGCACCAGCCCCCATTGGGCGCACACCTTGTAATCTATAATTTTGTGTCCAATAAAGCTGAGATCTCACAGATTGAGTTTTATATGCGTTAACAAAGAGCATGCACATCTCAGTCAGGAGGTGAGATTCCCCTGGCTAGCTGGGCTTATATGAACACACCCTAATAAGTCTTTTTCATGTTGACATATCATGTCAAGACATTTCATGAGCTGATGGGTATTAGGGAAAGCTAATAACATTGACATGAATGAAAGCGCTACTGTAACAGTATGCTATGTATGTCACGTTTGAACTGAAAACAAGCTTTAAACTACTTATGTCTCATAGAGCCTGTTCGCAGGCTATATGTCTCATGGCTATATTAATTATATTCCAGGAAAATTTCCGAGTATTTCTTGATCCGGGATTCGACGAGGATACCAAGTATATTATGGTTTGAATATACGAGAGCTAGGGAAGAAGTCAGGTAAACTTTGCTTAGCGGTAGAAAAAATAGGCCAGCATGCGAGCACTGCTCGCAGGAAATGTTAAACAGCTGCAGGAAATTCGTTTGAATGAAGATTTGCTATTGAAAATTTGAAGGAAACCTTAACACCCATGTTCCACTATGGGCGCAACAACATATGGTTGACAGACATTATTCCTTGAATTCAAAACCATGGTCAGCTAGAACACCATTTGTTTATGCACATGTACATTTAACACAAAAATACTCCGTTGGTTTGCGGGAAATTTTTGTCTCCAGGTTGTGCTCCCAGGAAGAAAATTCTTTTTTCCCACCCTGACTTTGCTCTTCAATAAGGTTTAAAAAACCAGAAAATTTTAATCAGAGTGTTTTTGGAGTGTAAGCAACTCAATTTAATCTGTTGTGAAATTTTTCTACGTAGGAAACGACAAAGAAGAAAATCATCTTGAGGAAATGTTTGTATTTGCTGGCCGAAACAACAATCCTTTCAAGACCATGCACTAGCTTGTAATATATCCATATGTTTTTGTAATAGGACTTTAGGCCATGTTCTTAACCAGTGCGCTATAGGAGAGGGCGTCATCCACCTGAAAACACTCAAAATGGCAGCAGGGTGTCCCCTCATGGCCTTGAAAATCCTGGAAAGTCCTTGAATTGGAAAAAGAAATTCCAGGACTGGAAAGTCCTTGAAAATCAGTAGAAGTCCTTGAAAGTCCTGGAATTAATTTCCTTAAGGTTACAGGACACCTTTGAGTGTTAATTTTGCCTCAATTTTTTTTTATTGGTTTCCATGAAAGCATTAGACTAGTTCTACTATCTCATCAAGTTTGAACGAAAAATGTTGAAAACTCGCAGAGTTATTTAATAAAATACATTTCGCTGCAATAAGAAAAACATTGAAAATGTAATATTCAAATTCAATTTTCTCCCGAAAAGGTTTACGTTAATTACTGATTTTCAAACGAGTGGTGCTCCTGCGGGTTTTAACCAATTTTTCTCAAATTTTCACAGGACATAGCTAAAGACGTCAGTTTCAAAATTGTGTTCGGCTTTTTTTTAATTTTGGATATTTTAAAAATAAAGAGCAATTCACTCAAACAATTCAGAAATATATTGCAGTCGTCAAAGAAATCGCCATATCAGCGGAATGACGAAATAAACAAAAATTTCCGAACAATTTTTTAGAACAACTATTTTACTGTATAAAAATGATATTTTCATAAATATAACTTAAAACCAGCAGGAGCATAACTCAAAAGCGTAACGGTGCCGCGATTTAAGATTTTCCTGAATAATTCTTACATTATTTTATTGTTTGTTAATTTTAAAACATTACCATATTTTGCATGCACTGGAGAACATTTGGTGAAAATTTGATGAAAATCGGACTGATATTGAGCGCGCAGTAGCGATTTTCCGCAAAACGCCAAAAAGGGTGTCCTGTGACCTTAAAGGCCATGTTACACGATGCCATTTTTCTTGCAACTTGCAATGCAACTCTACTCTTGAGAGATGTTAATTTGTGAAATCAGTGAAGAATTTTCGATATGTTGAGAAAACATCGGCGGAGTGTAATGAAAACTCGTATTTGGCAATTTTACATCCCTCAAGAGTAGAATTGCATTGCAAGTTGCAGGAAAAATGCACCGTGTAACATGGCCTTAACCTCCAGCTGTGCCAACAGTTGTGATTTTGATTGAAATTACTGAATAAATTGAATTATTTCCGTGCCATTTTCAAACATTTTTCCCAGTTCTAGGTCCTTGAATTTACTGAAAAAGGGCCTTGAAAGTCCTGGAAAAGTCCTTGAATTTCACCAAAGGGTGGACACCCTGTAGCAGGCTTGGCTTAGGCTTCATGGGAGGGGGGGGGGGGGGCAAATGCCTCCTAAGCGCACTGGCTAGGGGCATTTGCATTGCGACGTTATGGTATATACTCTGTGATGCAGACAAGGCTGCTGTGCGGTATATACTCTGTGATGCAGACAAGGCTGACGAGTGCAAATCGTATTGACGAATATCGCTTTTTATGCACTATTTAATTGGTCGAATTTCAGTAAGCGTCATAGCACGTTTGACATTTAGATAAACTTAGAATATTTAAACAAGAAATCGATCTGTGTCTCCAGGGGTAGAAATTTACGCTGTTCCGTTATCCCAGATACAGTAAAATGCCTGACTGAACAATAAGCTTCGTTATTTCAGTATTTATAGTGGTTGGTATTAATTTTTATCAGTTAGTCTTCTCCACAGGCAACTCGGTTGGCAAAAATAGAAGAATTACGCAATACTCATGATGGAGAAATGATGTGAGTAACAGGGTATCACGAGGGAAAATTGTGCAGTGAGGAATCTTCTCTCATTTACTAGCTCCCAATCTCTTGACGTGCTCTATCAAGTATTGCGTAATTCTTCTTTTTTTACTGACCGAGGTGTCTGCTAACTATCATTACGTTTTACCGTTTTAAAGTTTTGTTGATTTCCTAGTTGAGTTTTTAATTTTGTTTGCTTGCTTCTTTTATTTTGCTGCGTAATTTTAACTTTGCTGCATGACAGCCCTAGCACCGTACAGTACACCGTTTTCAGTAATTACGTCACAACTCCTTCCTTGGTAAGGTAGATTGTTCTCGTGGGTCGTAACCACACGGAATAGCCAGCTTTCGTTTTGATTACGAAAGCGAGGCTCCCAGGCCAAAGTTTTAATTTTTGAAAGGAGGGTCGCGCTATGTTTGCTGGTGCTCAGTTCGGGGTCTTGTGCCCTGGATCAGGGGGGGGGGGGTTCCTGTTTTGTTGAGGCTGTTACCTGCACTCAGGCGCGGCTGGCCAGAAAACCTAGCTTCGAACCCAGGTTACGGAAAGGTAAGGGTCTTGGAGGCTTACGTCACAAATGTCAGAGACATTCATGTCAGAGACATTCATGTCAGAGACATTCATGTCGGAGAGAAAAGGAACGGAGGATCTTCAGACGGAATAATCAATTTCAAAATCTACTATTCATGTTATATAGTAGAAACAAATAGAAATTTCTACTCCTGATTTCTCATTGGACAAATTATATTGGTATAATGTTAAAATTGTAAGTAATTTCATCACCATGCAGTAAAAGTTGGGTAACCGTAAACTCTTACAAGGATGTAGCTGGTATATCAGGATGTAACAAGTGGGGGTGTATCATCGTTGTACCCAGTTACGTTCTGTTAATGTAAAGCTTTCTCATTTTGCTTTTCATCTCTGAGATTGTGGGTTTAGTTCTCGTTCGAAATCCATTACCATAGCTGGAAAGAACATCTTAGAATGAGTAAAATTGCAAAGTTTGATTGCGAATTGTTGTAAAATGAGGAAAATATAGCCCTGCGAAGTTCGCAAATTTTGTATATATTTGCATTACGCGCGGGAAAAATAACCATTTTTGAGCCGAAAGTGGTTATTTTTACCGCGCGTATAAAAATATATACAAAATTTGCGAACCTCGCAGGGCTATATTTTTTTCGTTTTACAACATGTATCAACCAATCTTTGTAGTTTTACTCGTTCTAAGACGCTCTTTCTAGCTTTGGGGTTGGATTTCGTTCTTCTTGCCTTGATCAAAATTTAGTCTACAGCTGGAATCACCCATTTCAGCGCACGTTTAACTCCAGCGGCTTAAATTTTTTAATCATGAAAAAATGTCATGTTCATCTGCCAATTTCCGCAGTTTGCCGATTAGACTTGCCGATATGAAAGTTTGAACTTTGAATACTACCCGCAGTTTTTCCCGGGGGGTGCGGATCACGCACATCGGACAGACGCAATAATTGTTTATTCAATATGAGATTTCAATACAGTATATAATAAAATTTTTAATAGGCGAAGTGTTCAGATAATCTTTTTGGACTTATGGTTTGAAGAAGTGTGTATATATTGAACAATCTTCGTAGATATTGTATCACAAATGGTGTTTATACGTTCGTCGAAAGGTTTTGGGTGAAATTTTGTCGTACTACATTATGAATGTGATGTTTTGGCGAAATCACGCCACGAGCAAATTGTTGCTTCTGAGTTTTGCGGTCGGCGTTTTTATGATTTTAGAAGTGCAAATTCAACGTCTACAGACTCAAGTTCAGCTCCTTAGTAGAGGTATGCAAAGCTTTCTCGTTTAACCCCCTAAAGCTCGGTAAATCGACTTGCTGGGGCCTTGCTCTTCGCGCTGCAGAAATGGCTTTCGGCATGCTAGTTGCCACAGTTCTTCGTCCCATGTGTATGTAATTTAACGGCTTTCCATCTGTTGTGAAGCTATTGTAAAACCAAATAAACACACCCCGTAATTGTTAATGATAAATATACCCGTTTTAGTGTGTTTTACGCAAGATATTTAGCTATTTCCCACAGTATTTCGAACGCATTTTGTAAGTTTTGCAAGAACACATGGGGTGAACACTGTAAGTCAAGCAGCGACCCTACGGATTTCTGGTGTTTACAAAATCAAATTTCCTGCTTCGAAATGTCCAACGGTGTGATAGTTTCTTCAGAATTATTTTAGGAAATTTGAATTATAACTTTATATGGGGAAATGTGCTGTGAATTAAGTTGGGAAACAGAATTTTTCATTGCAATTTCTGGAGGCAATTTTGCATACTTTACATCATTGATTAATTAGAATGAATTGAAATGGAATACTTTTGAAGTTTATTTAAAAATTATCATCAGAAAAGGTAATTGAATCATTTTTCAATTAACTTAGCTCCCACGAAAAATCATATTTAACAGTCATTGGTATCAGAATTTAAGTTGTCTAGCTTGCCCCCAACATTTCAAAATTTTCAAATAAATTGAAAAGCAGTACTTTTTCTGTCCCATAAAAGTTGCATTCTATCAAATCAACAACTGATTGGTAGAATGCATTGCCGAATGCCGAGCTGAATTTCAATGGCTGCAGTATGCGCTACAACCTGGCTGCCATTTAAACTCTATTATATTGTAAGCAAGGGCGTAGGAACCGGCGGGCACAGGGGGCTTCCTACGCCCCTGATTATAATTATTGTTTTACAGTGCAAGGCTACAAAACACACATTGGCTTGGAAGAAAAGGAATTTCTAGACAGCAACAACGAGGTTAGCCTTTGTTTATTCCATTGTTAGGTCTTGTGGCAAAACTCATCTGACCTTCATGAGCATTCACTAAGTTCTTGTCCTCACTTTCAGAAAAATGAAGAGTTTGTAAAGGACACAATTGATAATTGGGATTCTGAAGATGATGCCGAGGTAGTGTCTACTGTGATGGATGTAGCTTAGTTTGTCCCATGTCCAGCATCACACTACATATCTACGACACGTACAGTTCAATGGAAGACATAACACAAACTCCATTAAATTTCTTGCTTTTAGGAAGAGGACATTGATGATACTCACTTTTCAATTGGGTCAAGTAAATTTGAAATGAAGATAGATAAAAATATGGTAGGTGAAAATGTAGCAAGATATCACCTACGAATGTCTAGGTAGGGTTGGGAAACCGGAAACCCTAACCTGTTTGTTTCAATGTTGATATTAACCAGTGGCGCAGCCAGCTCGATAAATGGGGGGGGGGCGAATATTCATATCTTCGTGTTCTGCATTATTAACTTCTTTTGAAATCGATTGTTTTAATGGGTTGTGAACACAAATATATGAATATTCGCCCCCCCCCCCCAATTATTGAGCTGGCTGCGCCACTGATATTACATGTAATATATAATTATTACATGTTAATATAATATAATTATGCATAATAATTATAATATTTAATTCAGAGCGAGTGCTTATTACCTATCATGGGATTGATTCTCTTGTTGCCCACTCACGTGAAAAGAGTCTCGACTTGCTCTGCCAAAAGTTGTGGGTTTTCTCCGGGTGCTCCGGTTTCCTCCCACAGGGAAAGTTGACAGGTTGGGTTTGGATAAACACAGTTAAGAAAGTAATATTTGATCATTAAATTTCTGAAACTTTTCTCAGCTTGCACCAAGTGGAGAACGAACGATTATCTTCTACAACCGTGTGCCCAAAACTGGCAGCACAAGCTTCATGGGCGTTGTATACGCACTTTGCAGCAAGATTAACTACCATGTGATCCATCTTAATGTGAGCAAAAACTATCATGTCATGAGTATAGCCGATCAGATGAGATTCGCCAAGAATATCACAACGTGGACGGCGAAAATGCCGGCATTTTATCATGGCCACCAATCCTTTTTGGATTTTGCCAAACTAGGTTTTGCAAAGAAACCGTTGTATATAAACATTGTACGGAGACCTTTAGAAAGACTGGTGTCGTATTATTATTTCTTGCGGCATGGTGATGATTTTAGGCCGGGCCTGAGGCGAGCCAGGCAAGGAAATCAAGAGGCAAGTCTTTTTAATGTTGTTTTAATATATAAAGCTTAGTGAAACCTGCCTGATTTTCATACAGAATGACACATTTATGTCAATTTTCTTAATTTTATGTAATAGTCTTGTATTTAATAGTGTATATGTAGACATGCAAGGTTCTATTTGATTTAATGCTTTCTGATTTAAAACTCTGTGTGTTGGGATTTCAAGCCATATGATTATGATTACACATCTTATGTTGTTGTAGAGTTTTGATGACTGCGTAGTAAGAGGTCATCGAAATTGTCAAAATGACCGCCTGTGGCTACAAATACATTCTTATGATTACACATCTTATGTTGTTGTAGAGTTTTGATGACTGTGTAGTAAGAGGTCATCGAGATTGTCAAAATGACCGCCTGTGGCTACAAATACCATTCTTTTGTGGTCAACATCCAGACTGCTGGTTAGTATCTCGCGCAATATATTGTTATTATTTATGATAATCACTCCTTCGGTGGTGTACACAAGTAAAAACGCACAAGTTGTAACAAACCTGCAGCAGACTTGTAGCAATGCTGTTCACTTGTGAACAGGATGTGTTCCCAGCTTGTCAAACAACAGCTTGTTTACAACTTGCTACAAGATTGTCGATTCAACAAACTTGTTACAAGTTGTTCCAAGAATTTGTTATCTTACTTCAATACACCCTTCCGATGATTGCGTCATTTGGCCTGCGAGCCTCGCTCTCATGAATCGTGAGCCAATCACCTTGCGTAATTTACTAATGAGAGCGAGGCTCCAAGACCAAAAAGTGTGTGTGACGTAATTTTCGAAAGGGTGTATTCAACAAGTTGAGTGACAACCTTGTAGCAACTTGATAAAATAACATTGTTACAACTTGTTGACAAGCTTACTGCAAGCCTGTTGCGAACATATCTTCACATGTAAAAACGCACAAGTTGCAACAAACCTGCAGCAGACTTGTAGCAATTCTGTTGCAACAACTTGTCAACAGGATGTGTTCGCACCCTTGTTGACAACTTGCCACAAGGTTGTTGAGCTCAACAGACGTGTTACAAGCTGTTCCAACAACTTGTTATCGTCCTGCAATTTGTCCCAGGTGATCTCGTGTTCGTATTTTAGCCAATCAGCGCTCAGAAAGGGTTGTCCGAATAGAAATCCATTTTGATGTATTCAGTCAATTATATCTTTCGTTATTCTTTATGAAACTAGTTGAAATTTTGTAATTATGTTTGCTTATGAGAAATATAGCTCTGACAAAAATATGGAATCGAAATAAAGTATATTACAGGAGATATTCAGTTGTTTTAATCATAAAATGGATTTCTATTTGACAACTAGTGCCAGTACTTTTCAACATATCATGTTCAACACTCGAAATAAATCTGGTATTTCCGCGCACCATGTATTATTCTCTATGTATTACGCACGGGAAAATGCGCCACTTTCGGCCCAAATGTGGTGTATTTTCCCACGCGTAATAGAAATGAATACAAATTTTGCAAATTTCGCATGGCAATTTGTCTGGCGTTAGTCAGAGTTTAATATTACTGAAAGTAGTGTGTGTTGCCAGCTAATAGATTAGTAGACCTTAATATCCACTTGCTTATTAAATGATGAACGAGAAACAAGCAGGAAACATAGGGGATATAACCTTCATGTGCAGGCCTGCCATTCTACCAATGATGAAACGTGGAAATGATGCCATTGGGTCAAAAGTAAACTTCCCTTTAGAGAATTGTTTAGAAATACAAACTTTTGCATTCAGATCATGTGGCAAAAAGGCAGCACTTTCCTTGCAATAGTAACTCCTAGTTGTAGATTTGCACCATAGTCTCCCGAAAAGGTCTTTTATTTTTTCAAAAAATCCATACAATTTGCTTGCGGTTTACGACTTGATTCTTGTATACTGCATCATAGCAAGTATGTCGTCATTTTCAGGTCAGTGTGAACGCCTGAGCAGGCGTCTTGTTTTACAATATTTCGCAACCAAACTTTGCAATTTTACTAATTTGAACATGCTCTTTCTAGCTGTGGTGATGGATTTTGTTCTTCTTGCCCAGATCAAAATTTAGTCTATATAGCTGGAATCATTTATTGATTGTGTTTCTTACTCGTAGGGAACCTGGTAATGCTTGGGCGTTGCAGAAAGCAAAAGAAAATTTACTAAACAATTACTTAGTGGTAGGGGTGACTGAACGATTGACAGAGTTTGTGGCGGTTATGGAAGTTGTACTGCCGAGATTTTTTAAAGGAGCGACCAAACGATTTATTTTAGGTATGTATATGTATAATTCTAGACTATCTAGACCTTTGCGTAACGTCACATTCATGAGTGTAGAGGGTGCGCACCCCACCTACTGGTGTCTAGCACCTCCCCCCCCCCTGGAGAGAAGTCCAGCATCACATTAAAAAATCTGCTTGACCATACATGTTGTACTTTTCGAATAGCGATTAGTGGAACTTCTACTGTTAGCGCGTGTCGATTTCTTGAAACAATTTAATTGGTTTGTGAGCTCACGAGAAAATACTCGGAATGCTTTTAGTTAAATATCATGGTCAAATATGTAAACATGTCGAGGTTGTTGTTATACAGCGATATTTTCAAATATACTGTACTTTAACAAGCAAATTTACTGTACTGTGCTACAGCAACTGTCCAGTCACGCATACGTCATAAAAAGCCTATATAAACTTTATAAACAAAAGATAAAACGGAACGGCGAACATGCAGATTTGGCCATCTCAAATACAGCCAATTGCAGTTGAGCTTGCAGCTTGCATTTTAAACGCGTTGTTACATCGTTGAAAAGTATGCGTTCATTCCTTAGAAACACGCCGTTGCTAGGGGCGTAACGTGAACTTTTGGCGGGCATTGTTGAACTTCTGAAC